AACAAGTGTCATATTGATTAAGCTTCACGTTTGTGGATTGTGGATCAGCAGTTAATTGTTATTAAAACATTTTATTTGAAGTAAAATCACACACTATTTAGGAGTGTCTTTTACTTTAATAAATCTAAACATTCCGTTGTAATAAATAAAAAGTCATACAAAAATAACGAGTAATTAGAAAGAAACATGTTTGATATGTGTGGACGGATTCAAGAGGTCTCATTAGAGAGTTTTGATTACGGAGTGCAAGTTTATGTAACGCGATTGTTATGAGACCTGCTACACACATCCGACGAGATTACTGTAACAGCCCACATCTGCGGCACCACACTGCGCTGACCACTTTCATTTTGATATTTAACATATCTACACAGTAATCAGGGAACAGGGTGCATTCACAAACGTGCAGTAATTATATGTTATTACAGCAATTATGCAAACTAAATGGATATTTACGTTATAATTTCAGCTGAGCTGCTTTCTACTGGCTAGCGTTGGCGTCTGCCTGGCGACTTTTGGACATGAACAGTTAGTATTACTATGTTCCCTTATCTTGGAAGATTTATCGAAACACAAGTAACACGCGGTAGTATCAGTGATAGAACTATTATTTACGCTACCAGTCGATGGAACCGCAAAAAATATTGTGGATGGAGCAATTTGGTTGAGATTTCTATAACGATTCTCACGCTTCTTCATTGCGGTAAATGGTGAAAACCGAGCTATTGTGTTATAATGATAGAGCTACACTACACCCTTGCACTAGGTTTTCACTGTACCACGTTTGACCTGTTGGCTTTGCGATCTATTGTTCCTCATTTCTTATTTCATTCTGTCTATGTACAGGTGCTGTTGCATATAAATATAATGATGCGAACATTTTAGAAAAATGATATTAACAATATTTGTTTGTAGTACATAAATAACAAGTGTTTGTTTTTGTTTCAGTGTTCATATTCGGGTGCATATACCTGAAGAGCATCACTCTTCCAAAGAAGTGGTAATACATGAAGACCACGGACACGGCGGCGGCGGCGGCGGCTATGGAGGCGGTGGAGGCGGAGGCTTCGGGGGCGGACACGGAGGTGGCCATGGGGGTGGTCACGGCGGCGGTGGCGGCGGAGGCCATGGAGGATCTCTTACTGACCACCTGCACGGAGGCTTCGCCGACTACTTGAAAGGTGGTGGAGGCCACGGAGGTGGCGGCCACGGTGGTCACGGTGGAGGCTTTGGCGGTGGCTCTGGCGGAGGATTCGGAGGCGGACATGGCGGTGGCCACGGAGGACACGATTTTGGAGGAGGATACGACTTAGGCGGTCATGGAGGCGGCGGTGATTTTGGAGGACATGGAGGTGGTGACTTTGGTGGGCACGGCGGCGGCGATTTCGGAGGCCATGGCGGCGGTGACTTCGGTGGACATGGAGGTGGAGACTTCGGTGGACATGGAGGTGGGGACTTCGGTGGACACGGCGGCGGAGATTATGGCGGACACGGCGGTGGTTTAAGCGGAGGATTCGGCGGCGGCCATGGAGGTGGCTTCGGAGGTGACTTAGGTGGTGGCCACGACGATCATGGTCACGGCGGAGGACTGAGCGGTGGATTCGCCGGCGGTTTTGGCGGTGGATTTGGCGGTGGTCACGGAGGTGGCGGTGGACATGATGACCATGGTCACGGCGGCGGCTTCGGAGGAGGCATCAGCGGAGGTATAGGAGGCGGTTTTGGAGGTGGCTTCGGAGGTGGCCATGGAGGTGGTGGTGGCGGCCACGACGAACATGATCATGGTGGTTCCTTCGGAGGTGGATTTGGAGGAGGTTTCGGAGGCGGTCATGGAGGATCAGGCGGCGGGCACGGCGGTGGTCACGGAGGTGGTTTCAGTGCTAGTTTCGGAGGTTTTGGAGGCGGAATTGGAGGAGGACACGATGATCACGGCAGCAGCTTCTCTGGTGGACATGACAGTTACAGCGGAGGAGGTGGAGGTGGATATTCATCTGGAGGCCACCGCAGCTCAGGTCTAGGAAGTTTCGGTGGTCACGGAGGTGGTATAGACAGCTACAGTATCGGTAGCCATGGCGGCAGTGGCGGTGGAGGTGGCCATGACAGCTACAGTATCGGAGGCCACGGCGGCGGCGGTGGCGGCGGAGGTCATGACAGTTACTCCAGTGTAAGCTTCGATTCATTCGGTGGAGGCGGCGGTCTTGGAGGTCACGGCGGTGGTGACAGCTACAGCATCGGAGGTGGACATGGTGGTCACGGAGGCGGAGGAGGATTTGGAGGCGGTGACAGTTACAGTGTCGGATTTGGAGGCCATGGATCTGGAGGTGACCACGGTAGTGGCGGACACGGCGGTGGCGGTCACGGCGGATTTAGCTTAGGTGACATCGGAGGAGGTGGAGGAGGTCACGGAGGTCACGGGGGTGGAGGTTTTGGTGGTGACAGTTACACAAATGCCCTAGGAGCTGGTCACGGCGGCGGGCCCTACCACAAGCGAAAGTAACACACTCCTAGTATTAATAAACCAACTAAGTCATAGTCCTCAAACGCCCATGGATAGTGTATCCAGTGCTATATAGTACAACATTGTTATTGTAAATAGGTTATAGATTAAGTTATTGTTGTTTGTTTAATTAAAAGTTATTTAATTTTTCTCTGTCTTTCATTTTCTCGACTTGTAGAAATCCCTAACTAACCAGCGGAGATAAAACAACAACACCACGCACGAACGAACACGAACATGTAGCTACAAAAAATGTAAATAAATAACTACACACTGATCATTAAAACATTATACTAACACATTACTCAATAACAAATCAAACTGAGTTTATGAAAGACACTTTAATAATAGAAATGCTTTCAAAACGATACTGACACATGTATTAATGTATCATGATGTAACGACAGACGTTCAGACGATACTACATCTGTAAGCTCAGATCAGTTTTGTCGATTGACCTACAGATACATACACAGATAATAATACTTGCAGCTGACTAACGGTTGTTGAGCAATGATTACGTCACGCAGTTGTAAGCTCGAAAGGAAATGATGCATCTAAGACGCGCTCGCGATCTAAGACAACAGGAAGAATGCGCACGCAAATAAGTTTCACTCTCGTGGGAACAGACATTAATTACATAAACGACTATTAATTCGCATTTTGCATTTTATTCACAATTTTTTTGCATTAAACAAAATTTGCATTATCACTATAAATGTTGTTGATTAATTATGCAACATTAATGCAAACGGATGTGTATTTTTAGTATCAAAGCTGTGTTTAACATGTTTCCATTTATGACATTTCATTTTTGTTCGCATTATTAGTTTATGCTGAAGATGAACTTGTTATTATGGCACTTAAATATTTTTAGGAATGTTGTTTCTAGACTTTTATGGATACAGCCACTATTAGTGAAATCAAGAAGCTCTTATTTTGGTCCTGATATAAGTAGCTTCTATGCTAATGGATCACTAAAATTGTTAGATAGAGCTTTTCGACAACAATTAACCTCAGTTTGAAATATTTTTAAATCCCAAGAAAGGGTTCCTGAAAATTATGCACGGACTTTGAAGAATGCAAATTGTAACTAAGCCACGATAATGGATATGGTTAATGGTGTTGCCTAGGCCCTAAAAATGGTTTCAGCGATAACTAAAAGAATCGAAGAATTGAAGTCGAATTGTGTGGAGAAATCATGGAGAGAATATTCAGATCGGATCTTCACTTTAAAACTTAGTTATAATTTCAACAAGATAAAATACAGTGCATTCAAATAAAATTCAATGAGTTCAAAAACAAAAATGAAGTGGTCTTAGACAACAGTATCGAATGTGAAAACTCATTGCTAGTGTTTATTAAAATGTTACGAAAGCGTAATCAGTGAATGCGAACTAAAATGAAAGACGTATGACATGGCTTTCCGCAAACGAATTAAATAGATATGTGAGTTTGCACGTCATAAAGTATGAACAATCTTAAGTACAGATCTTAGCAGTTTTGTTACGTAACTATACCCTGCTGGGTCGCCCTTCACTGACCGTGTACTTCCGCGTAAAGCTCCATACCGCTTTTACTATCTCATAAGTACTTACGTTTATATTGACATTAAGTGTTTTTGCTACAAGTATGTACACTACGTCTAGTGTAGCCTGTCAGGGAAGTGAAGTAGCCAGTGCTAGCTTATCGATGAGTTTACAAACGATGCTTCATGAATCACTCCGTAGAAAGTACGTGTATATGACAATTTGACCGATTATTACGACGCCACTTCCTTGACAAAATCATTGCATTAGTTTTCATTTTATTATTCGACACGCAATTATAAATTATCGTGCCTATGCCTATAAATAAAAGAGGAACGTTAAGTATTTGTAACGAACTTGGTAGAAAAATTTATATTTCGAGTTTGTTGCTTACGATCGACAAAGGTGTATTTTACATTGCCGAAACAATTTGGCTGATAGGTGATTTTATCACGGAGAGGAAGAGCGCATTTACCACTTAAAACTATCTAAGTATACGATACACATACAAAACAGAGTCTAAGAAGGCATGAGGTTTGAAGAGTCTTTACTTACCTTACCTGCTCCACATGGCGCCTGCTCACTTAAAGTAGCAACTTATTTTTATAGTGAGCAACTTGTACTTGTGACAGACAGGCGCAGGAAAACATTGAAACGAAAAATATGCCTTTTGAGAAATTGAATTTAAGAAATTTGTACCTAGTTTTATATCGAAATAAAATTCATTATATTTTACATTGTTTTATATTTAACTTCGCCTATAGATTCGTATAAAAATGCATGAATACCATCGTCGTTCGCTCTAAAATAGCTTATAAATTAAGTTAGATTCTAGCTACAAAGGCAGTATAAATAATAGACATATTCACAAAGTAACAATTCCAAAATGACTCACTTCATTCACGGCATTTGGTGCAGCACTCAGACCTAAGATCACTTACTTATAATACTAAACAGTTTTATTTGTCTGACACTTGTCAAATTTTGTCACCATAGTTAAGTTTTCCGGCACTTGATGCATCTGTACTCTGACTGTAATAATGTCCCGATTCGTTCGATTCTTTAGAATTTAAAGCTATAACTTTGTACCTGGACCTACGCTCCTTGCGTGGTTTTGGTACCTCAGATTCTTGGTCTTTGAGCGTGTTCCTCGGCCTGGTTTCATAAGTTGTGACTTCAGTTGTAATAGCTTCCACGCTCTGAGTGTCATAATACGTAGGTGAGGCAGCGGTAGTCGTTGCTACTGTGGCAATGAAAGGTGTTGTTGACGGACTAGGAGCTTCAGCGTATTGGTAATTGTCATTAGACGCCTCAGCATATGAAATCTGATCTCCCTGCAAGGCCTTTGCTGCCATCGAAGTGTAATATGCATGAACCGGAGAGCTTTCTGATATTGTAAAGGCAGTGGACTGCGCTGAATCTGTAGACTGCTGCTGTTCATAGCTGTTGTAGTTGTCTATTCCCGACGTTGCCGCTCCGTTAATTGACGTTGCTGAAACACCGGAATCTTCTAAGTGATCTACTGTAGTCTGATGGTCTAGCCCACCAAAACTTATATTCTGTGTTGATATGGATTTTTTTTTACCTTTTTTAGGTTGATAATTTATAAAAGAGGGACTATTATCTGAGGTATATAAGTTAGACGCCGATGAAGCGTATGAATCTCCGTAGTTATTCGTATAGGCATATACATTTTTATTAAATTTAGACAAGCCTACCGTTTCGGCTGAGTGTGGCTTGTAGTCATGGACGACGGTGGACGACACGGCGTACGGTGCCGGGACACTCGTCTGCTGGAGTCGGTAGTCAGACACTTGTTTTCCGTTCCCAAAATATAGTGCTGGTACTACGTTGCGAGTCTTTATGTTTCCTTTGTCTTTCACTTTGAAATGGGGAATAGGCCTGTAGTCCTCTAAACTCTGATCAGATGTCGACTCAAAAGGCGTAGGGATGGTGGGTTGCTGCATCTTATGATACGTGAAATATGGGTTATCGTAATAAGCAACGTCTGAATAATGTGTAGGTTTATGATGAGATTTCACGTACTTTTGTGAATATTTGCTTTTAAGCCCCTTGTTACCACTTAGTCCGATACGGATAGGGTGATTATTATAAGTCAATCTCGGCGGAAATGGGAGATGGTCTTTCGTTATATCCACATCGGAGGGAATCTCTCCATGGTCATGGAATATGTGGTCGTGAGTAACTTCTCGTGGGTTGTAAGCAGCGTACTCTAAATGCGCCGGAGTCCCCATGGAGCCTACACCAGCAAAACGAGTGATTGTGTCAGGAGGTACGGCCAGTAGACTCTGAGGATTCTTAACAGGAATTAGAGGGTGTGAACCCGCTAGCCCTGATATACCGCCATCGGTGTCGTACACTAGTTTGTGAATGTGCTCCTCACTATAGGTGTGTATGTGTTCGGTATCACCGTCGATGATTTTCTCTACTCGTTGCGGCTTCCTTATTTTTCTAATAGTCCCCGACCCATCCAGATCAGCATAAAAATGTTCATGGAAGGTTGTGACAGGATGTTCCTCCTCTAATTGACCTGGTTTCCCTCGCACTACTACTCGTTTCGCCTTGACCTTTCTTGGCACTTTTTTTCTGGGCGGTTCATTAAGTTTCACAATTTTCACTCTTTTTGGGACATAGCTTGGTTGCGCAGTCGGAGCCGCTGGTGGAGCTGCGAAGGCAGTGGGTATGTATGTTATATCCGTCGGTTCTGGAGGAGGAGGTGCGAGGTCGTACTCCTGCTCGTCCCACTCGTGCGGCGTGGGCCCATAGTAGCCGCGCGCGCGGTACAGCGGCAACAACTTGGAGGCTGCGGGCGAGACGCCGGGCATCCGCATCGGTGACTCGTCGTACACCTCTACTGAGTTGAGAGGCAGCACGTTGGCTACGGTAGGCATCGCGACGTTGCTCGGTACTGCCACCGCACCTTCAGCGCTCGGCATGAAAGCCGGTGCATACTGTGATGACGCTGGGTGTTGAGTTATGTAGATCTTCTTGTGGTGGTGGATATGTTTCACCTTTTGTGGTAGATGTATGCGGATCTTTTTCCTGTAACAAGAAAAAAAAATAGTGCTGGTATTCTGTGCTGAGGTAATCGATCGCATGCATGTCGAGCGGTGGAGTTTTTCTGTTTGTTGTTCCGTCTAGTGCAGTGTCAATGGCATGACGCGTGACTCGGTAGCGCGCGGCTTTCGCTGTCGGATCGGTGGCGGTCGCGACGTCGTCGCCACGCTACCTATCCGCACTTCGTTACACTCGACATACGACTCACAATTCGACTAGTGTCATCATATTTTCGTAACGTGTAACGTACGACAACGTGAGGATTGACTTGCACTTTCTAATAGGCAGACGGTTATTATGTGCCCGGTTGGGTTGATTCAACGTCCAAGCAATTATCGCTAAGCGGTGAAACATAACAATTTGAGCACAATCGCCGGCACACTGACATTGACAATGCTTACAGTTGAAGTCGCTCAGCGTGAAATCAGCACACTTTCGCTAGCCTGTGGGGATACTTAGTGTCCTTCTTGGGGTTAATTAACAGCAAGTGAATGAGAGTAATAACAACATCATGGGAATGAACATCAGTAATGAATACGTAAGTTGTAGGATGGTTACATAGAGCGCTAGCATTATAGATTACTTAAGTTAAATGAAGGTACAGTGTCAATATAGTTGGAGTGACTCGAGATATTCTGGGACGTGTCGTTCTTCTAGCAATTGGGGTAAAAACTTATTCACCAAATGAAGCTGACACCAAACGAAAAAATGAATACACTGGTAACAAGAACGATCAATTAATATAAATGTACTCACTTGGGCGCATCTGCCGTGATCTGTACTGAAGCTACAGCTATCAGAAGAGCGAACTGTAACAGAGAGACACTGCATTCAAAACCAAATCACTCTAAAACCCATCTTTAATGCTTATAATGCAAATATATTATATAGTAAGGTCAAAACCACTTATTTAAGTAAGGGGTAATTTTTCAATCAAAAGATAATTCTTGTGAATGGATAGAAAAACAGAATAAAATTGATATTTAACAGTTTTTATTATGGGATAATTGTCAAATATCCAAAAGTATTTCTCCGACAAAACATTAAAGTGGCGTTGGAAAAGTCGACCCTAAATCAAATGTGGTATCTAATTTCTATGAGAAGCTTCTGTCAGTGAAGCTGGTTGTTCGTTGTTCATAATTATGGAGAAAAATAGGTTCAAAAGAGAAATTTATGATGTGACGTGGTTTAAAGATAGGTATATACTAAATTGATACTCATATTAATTTCAAATTCCAACAGCTCATATCAGATAGACTGAAAAATAATTGAAGTCTTTACAATACAGTTTTTAATTGCTTAATTTAATACCTTATTATATTTCATCATTAACTTTTAGAAGGGCTCGGATTGGGATAGTTTAAAGTTGATTTATAGCTATGGAGATTAACGACCGAAATTAATATTTTTTTTATGGATTAGGATGCAAACGAGCAGACGCATCACCTGATGGTAAGCGATCAGCGCCGCCCATGGACACCCGCAACACCAGAGGCGTCATAGGTGTTGCCGGCCTTTTAAAAGGAACTCTTTTCCAACCTAACTATCTATCTAACAAATAACAAGATGGACTTTTGACATTAGTTGTGTGGAGTTTCAGTCTAATATCGATCTTAATACACAGAATTGGGATAGGATATTATATTCGGTCGAAAAACAAAACAGTAAACCAGGATTAAAAAGTATAACATAATAATATGACACTTCTCACACCCTTTGTTTCTCGAAAGTGGTAATTTTTAGATTTTACACCCTATTTTCACCAGATATTGGTTTAGAATAGGATATTAATTACGGCCGAAAAACAAACAAGATCAAAAAGTGAAACATATGACAGTTCTCACACTTTTTGTTTCTTGTAAGTGCTAATTATTTGATGTTACACTCTATGTTATGAAGTGTATATAGTTTGGTCTTGAAGTAAGGTCTGAGTTTGTGACTGAGAATTTTCAAAAGCTGAAAATGATAGGGCCAGGTATTTGATTAGGCTTCAATTTCCAGAATGTTGGGGTGAAGTTTATCACATATGTTATGAAAATATGTTATTATGCAAGTAATAAAAGCAGTGTAAAAGCAAATGTTTCGTTAGGTTATATTTGTGTTATTTCTAATAGTTTTAGATAGTTAGGCACTTTGTGATTAACTTCCAGCAATTAGCAAACAATTTGTTCTCCATTTTTGATTGTGCACACTATATTTGAATGTTTTTCTATAATATAAAAATGAGTCACTGAATATGTTGCTAAGCGCTAATCTCGAGAACAGCTGAACCAATATAGTTACTTCTTTTGTTAGGTTTGTTATGATTAGGAGCAGATTCTTCTGTAAAAAAATCCAAGAAGAAACTAGGTTCGCTGGGTAATTTTGTAGATATAAAACTGTATCAAACACTACAATCATTGTCAGACCAAATTACGATTTCTTATTAAATGAATAACCGTAATTTTATATAGACTTAAAAATCGCGTAGCGTATAAACTAAATCTTCAAAATCACGTTCACAACACAAAAGATTTGGGAATCACCATCACAGGGCACAGGGTATCACAGTCCGCACTATCAGATCATATATCATCACTATCACACATGGGTACTGGGTACAAATACGTAGCACGAGATACCGACCAATTTCAACCAATCCATTGCCGCTGCTTCTGTAGTCAGACGAGACACGAATCCGAAACCAGATTTTTATTGTTTTAATTTTTTTTAGTACAAGTCCTCCAATGGAACCCACACTGGCCTTCAAGCTCATATGATAATTGTTCGCGGTGCGCCTGATTATTTATAACATTCATTTTCATGCTTGAAAGAGTCCCGATTTGCGGTTGTGTGCGTTGCATATCGCACACATGTTGCAGTTTGCAATGCACTGCAGTCGCTGCAGTATCGTCGCTGACGGCTTGTGCTAAATTTTGTTGGACATATTTAATATTTTCTCATTATTATACACATTATTGTTCACTGATAATTATGCAAAATACCATACACGTGTTTCATTGTTGACTTTATATTTGTTTTAAAGAAAATCTACAACACATTTTGTCTCTCATCTATGATCTTAATAAGACAACATAAAATAACATCACACCATATTAAACGATTGGTTAATAAACCAATACCAGGTACCTATTTTACAAGATAAGAAACAATATTCTTTACACATACAAAAGTGTTAGATCTGGTAAAAGGAAAACGATGTTCCAAACAGTTTTCCAACCTTAAATTAACTAGAAGTAAGATCAGTGTTTAGTTCTTTAGATAATATCTTAATGAATCAAGTCAATGAAGATACAAGATAAATATAACTTTATGAATGCTTAAGACAGGTTACGTTCTTGAGGTTATTAACATTAAAATAATGTGTCATCTGCCGCCTTTAATAATTTCGGTTACCCTAAATTAGGTTCTAGGGTTACCTAAACCTGATCACGTTTAAGTTCTAATTTAACATGCGACTTATTAAATCTTGTTCAACGTCCAACAGACGATAGCTTGCATGAAGAAATAAATGTGAAAGACGAAAAGAACCGACGCATACGTACTATCCATCGAGGCGTATTACATAATGCGCGGTAATTTTCTTCCTTCGGTTGTAAAAACGCAGTAACTTTTATTAAAATGTCTCTGTGTAAATTGTGCAATAATTAAGTACCAATAAATTACACACGATTGGCCATAGAAGTCTCAAATTATAAGTCGATTGCACATTAATTAATTAGCAACAATAATGACTATGTGGGTAACCAACTGTTCATAAACAGTGCGTGATACACTCATTTGAGTAAATTTGATAATAATTCATTTACCAAAAGAGTTTTATATTGTTAATTGAGACTTTAGTAATAATTTCATTTGATTTTTATGTTTGTTAGTCGACTAGTGAGTTATATTGAAAGTTTTAAAGTATCTAGTAATTAGTTTTACTAATGTCGTGGTGGCCCAGAGGTTTGTGACGCCGGCTTCCCTTGCATGAGAGTGCGGTTAGAAAACCTACTAACGGCAAGTACCAATATGACTCTTAACGAGTTATATGAAGGTACTTTTTAAGAATATTTAGACACCACTGACTAACGGTGAAGGAAAATTTGTAATTGCCAACCCGCATTGAACAAGCGTGGTGATTATAGGTAAGCATCCTTAGGCCCACATAGCCATCGCCATCGAAGAGGCCTTTGCCACATATAGGCTCTTGATGTGATGTGTAAAATACTATACACCAGTATGACCAATAGACCAACTAGGCTATCGTGGGTTCCCCTTCTACAAATACCTACGTCCTTTCTAGTCGTGAGTGTAATAGAGGGCATTTCACTCACTAGTAGCATTGTCCGAAGCATCCAATGAATGAAGTATTTACTGACTATCATTACAATTAATTGTAAACAAACAATGGATAATATTTAGACCGTAATACTCCTTTATGCATCAATATATATTTATATATGTGTGTACGATTCCTTGCTTAAATAAAGTTCTTAATGCATACTCAAACGTCACCAAAATGTAAACTGTCAAAGATGGCACGATATTAAACTACAACTTAAAATTGAGTAGTCTCTCAGTATTCTGGCATAAGTGATAGGAACTAAGTTAACTGGATGACTCTTTGGTGGAATAATGGATATATTCACCAAATATCCCTAAATCACCTCCTAATTACAAGTTGCTTGACGTCCTGTAGCCTAACCTAACCTAAACCAACCCCTTACTTATACTATTAGGTGTCACTTATGTGAAAACCAAAATAAATCAATTTCAAAATATTACACATAATATAGTTTAATGTCAAAATAATGACGTTATATGTGACATAATAAATATATTTTAGCTTAGCCGTTCCTTAAAATTTTGAGACAGGGTTGGTGCAAACGGTCATACAGGTTCTTTTTTCTTTTTATATTCCAACTGTTAAGCACTAGGTTGCCGAATACTATTCGACAAGGTGCATTTGTGTTTTGATTTCGAATTCTCAGTGCTTCTACATGGCTGTTGCAAATGTGCAGTGAAGCATTCAGGTGCTAAATGGAAACGTCATTACGTCATGAACCGTGAGTGCTTACTATTGCAGTATGGGCAATCTATACAAGTTTTTACATAACATAACATCACGCCTTCTTTACGCGAAGGGGTAGGTTGAAATGCACATTATGGCACTTAATGCCACTCTACAATCTAACACCACCTTTTCATTATTTATGTTATGGATGCAATGTAATAAGGGTGAGCTTATTGCCATTATACTGGCACAATTCCTGAGTTTTTTTTTAAAACCAGTAATACTTTGCCCGAGCCAAGACCCCTTGCCCGGCAGAGTCGCAGTTGCGACCACTCAGCCAATGAGGCAGTCATATGTACATGTTTTTAAACGATTTTATTTAGTTTACCCCGTTTGTTTGTTTGTGTTTTACCCCTTTACCTCCTTTACGTCCTAAAAAGTTTAAATGTTTCTTAAAACACCCACATTCATAAAAGCGGTGATTAATGTATTCTACTGCCTCAATACGTATGTTAACGAAGCACAATTCATCACGTAATTAATTAAGAAAAAATTAAGAGCTTGATCAATGAGATGTGTTCGATTAGCTCGCGCGTGGCGTGCGGTACTCTTCACGCGATACCAACTTGTATCCGCATTTTAACCGACTGCGTAACAAAGGCAAATCGTGTGTTTTGTTGAGGAAATTCAGTGCTAAGTTTACACTTTGATTAATCAGTTATTACTTGCAATGACATGGCTAGATTACCTCGATCGGCCAGTTGAATAATTTTGTTATGTGACTGCTGGAAGTTGGAAGTAGGTAGTTAGTATTGAATTCGAATCAGTTGCAACAACTCTCGAGCGAAAGTATATCATTTCAGTAGGAGCATGTATTGAAGGTGACACAATTTTGCTTGAATCTTTTCTTTTTTTAGAAAATCGTTGCCCCACACTAGGATTTTCTCCTGTGTCGTGGGTGTGTTTACAAACATACAAGTTCACATACACAACAGTTGATCACACAAAGTGTTGTCCCGTGCGGGAATCGAACCCGCGACACGTTGCACGACAGCCGGTTGCCCAGCCATCGCACGAACCATGCAGTCGAATTACTAAAAATATTATTTGTCTATTGCTTTTTTTTCCAATACTTTCTTCATATATTAGTATACACATAAGAGTTTGTTTAAATAATACTAAATTGCAAATTAATACCATATAAGCTTCGATTTGTTCAATAAAACCTTACCGAGGAACCTGCTCCGGTTAAGTTGACTCGTTGATGTCATTTGTTCGTGGTTTTGTTATTCTGAGAATGTTAAGGAAATTGTTGGTTTGAAGTTAAACTGTCTTTTTTAATTGGTTTGATGATCGTGTGCTTGGAAAGGAACAGCTGATCTCGGTCTCGATTCCCATGTCTATGGTGTATAGTATACGCAAACCTATACAAAATAGTTTTAAAGCTTAATTTTACGTGCTTAATCAAAAGTATAATTAGTATTGTTCAATCTACATCAATGTTAATGTACCTATTTATTTCCTTTGGTTACGCACTCAGTGTAGAGTTTGTATTTAGCACATTAATTGATTTACCGGCACATTTTTATTGAAATAGATCGGTAATCTTAAACTGTAAATCAATAAGGTATTAGCTTCAATTTGTTCAATAAAAGCTGGTAATATGAATCGCCTAGTATATGTTTTACGGCACTTAATTTCATGTTGAATAACTCGCTCCGGTTAAGTTAGTCGTTGAAGTCTTTTGTTCGCGGTTCCGTTATCCTAAGGAAATGGGTAGTTAATACGTTTTTAAAACGATATGATTTTATGTATACTGCCTCGTTGTCTAGAGTAGACGTCAGTGTGACTGTTAAACATGTGGTCTCAGATTCGATTCGCAGGTAGGGTAAAGTTAAAAAAAAAGAGAGTGTAAGATTGAGTCCGGTATATGCCAATATGAAATTGATACAAAATGGATAATTTCCACCTTTAATTTTATATTTTCGCATTTCAAAGGTGTGATGTTATATTTTTTTCTTTTAACAAAATAAACGTTGGCTCACACTAGGATTTGCTGCTGCGTCGTGAGTACTTTTATATAAATATACAATTTGACATCCACATGACCCCCCGACCTGGAACAGTAATTTGTGGATAACACAAAAAGTTGTTGGGAATCGAACCCGCCACACGTTGTAAGGCAGACATATGCCCAGCAGCTACCGCAACTCGTTGTTTCTAACCTATCACTATTATTTTATAGGCTCTAGGAATTTTTTTTTTGTAACTGACGACTGTGGATATGATTAGATTTCTTTCTTACTTTAACACGAAATCTAGATATATTTGTTTCGCAAACTAATATACTACAACATTTTCGAAAACATATTTTAACGACTTAAATTTTAACATAATAATTATTGTTAATAACTATGTTCAAGATCAATTTGTCAACCAAAACATCTCGTCGTTCGTGTAAACTTGACCTTTTTCTCGATCGCCTGTTGTCATAGCATAGCTTACTGAAGAAATTATCACTCGAACAAAATGTGACAAATTTCCCCTATCGCAATAGATACTCTAAAACTAAATTCGCTACTTTTAACGGTCATGAGACGTTGACCATTACCTGCATAGAATAAAAACCCAATTACCGTAAAAA